TAACATTTAAAGTTGCAGGTTAATTACCTGGGATTTAACCTCTACTATTGGGATGAGAAGAAATGTTTACTTTTGGAGTGTTTGTTCTATATTATATTAGAAATAAGAATTGTTGTCGATTTCTAATCATTGTTTATTTGGTGTTAATAAAAATGTTCAAGCATCTCATAGTTGGTTTGTAGATGCGGAAACAATCTGTGTAATTGAAAGTAGTTGATTTTTAAGAATAGAGTAGAGTTTTTCTTTTCTACTTTGCTTGTGTTAGCCTTTCAAGAATAGTTTGTTTGATGTGACACGAACTTGATTGATGAATGGTTGGAAGACGATATCTTTAATATCCAACTTTCTTTCTTCTTTTTGGTGTTTTCTAGTGTTCCAATCTTTTTTATTATTTGTGAGAGGTCTGTTCACTTCTACTAAGGTCCTATCTCACAATGACAATATTTTGTAGCCTATTTATGCGACCAAGTGCTCTATTTATGCTTCTTGGGGATTCTACTGAGGTGAAGCCTTGTCACCTTACCTTTTGTATTCTCTTTTTTGTTTTAATATTTTTTTCTTTTTTTGGATAATTAACCGAGCTTTTATTAAACTTAAAAAGAGTAGTAAGTACAATTGAGATGAGGAGGGAGGGGTAAAATCTCTTAAATCTTAACCCTCCTTGAGATTAATCCCAGGTAACCTTGTTTAGCAAGTGAGTTGGCAATGCCCAAAAAAAGATCGACACTTCCTACCCCTTGTAACCTTGTTTAGCAAGTGAGTCCGCAAAAGAATTTGCACTTCTCTTAATCCATTGAAACTTAATCTCCATTATCCTAGGTCAATCGTTTAATTTTTTTTTCTCATTTAGGAACTTCCAAATCCCGATTTCTTTCTTCTGCAGCCAGCCAATAATTAGCATTTTCCACCACTAATTTTCTGATATTCAACTCCTTTGCTTTCTTTGTCCCTTCCAAAACCACGAAGACTTCAGCTCTTAGGGAATCCCCAACTCCAATAGGACCAGAATACAAAGCAAGAATTTTTCTTTCCTCGTCCCCAAATACTCCCATACCTGATGGGCCTGGGTTTCCTTCATTGCTACCATCAAAATTCAATTTGGGGAAACCAACAGCCGGAGGGGATCACACCAGACTAGTAACAGTTTAGGAGAACATGCCTCTTCTTTCCAATTCTTAATAATATCTCCTATGGGAATTATCACAAAAAACATCTCCTATGGAAAATCCTTGAAAGAGCTTCATAATCTTGACCCAATGAACTACCCTAATAGTTATTGTTTGAATGATGACGTCCATACTTCTTTCTTTTTCAGCAAAGGTTCTTTGGTTTCTTTCCTCCCAAATTGTCCAACAAGTAGCTGCTCTTACACATCTCCACAGTATTTTACCTCTCTTCTTTGACCCTCTAATATAAATGGAATTAAACAAAATCTGTACATTTGGTGGGGAGATCCATCTTCAAACAAATAGAGAGAGAAACCAATTCCAGATCGCTGAGACAAACAGGCAGGAGGTTAATAAGTGGTAGCAGCTCTCATCATTATACTTTCATAGAATACACCAGTGTTGGGATAGACACCCATTAAGTAGGGGTGCTCACGGTTCGGTTAACCGAACCATGGGCCGATTTTTTAAATTGAACTGGTACTACCAGTTTATGGAAAACCGGTAACTGAAACCAAACTGAAGCTCATCGGTATGGTTGATCGGTTCGGTTAACCGGTGGTTTGGTTCGTCGATTTTTTGGTTTTTTTATATTTACAGTAAATATTATAAAAATATATAAATATCTAATAAAAATTAGAAATAGATAAAATATTATATATTATAAATATATATTTATTTATATAATGCATATTTATTGATTTATAATATATAGAAAATATAAAATATATAATATACATATATATATATTTATATGTGTATTGGTCGGGTTGGTTAATTGTCTGTGTTCTATATTGGTTAACCGAAACCGAATTGACCAGTTCAGTTAACTGGATTTTTGGTTCGGTTCGGTTTTTTTGGTTTTTCTTGCTCACCCCTACCATTAAGCCTTTTCTCTTTGGAGCAATTTGCAAGTGTTACACTTTTCTAAAAAAGATTCCCAATAAAAAGCACCTAACCTAGGAGCAATGGGTGGTCCACATCCTACTATCCCTCCTAGAGGGGTCTAGTACCACTTCATCCTGGATTTTAATCCAGTCAGAAACACTGTTCCATTCAGAATCTCTAAGAGCCCTTCTAAAACTCAGGTTCCAATCAGGAGCAGAGTTCAAGTCAGAATGAACTAGAAAGGTGGAGATAGGCTCATTTTTAAACCTAGAGAGGGAAATTAAGGAATTGCTTTCAGAGGTATTTTTCCCACCCAAACATGCTCCCAGAATTTCACAAGATTTCCCAAGCAAAGATCATATCTGATGAGAGGAAGGATGGAAGAATGGCATGAGTAGATTTCCAAGGAGAAGTTCTTGTAGAAATTCCTGTTTACTTAAGAATAAATCATCAAGCAAAGATCACTTTTTTACAATAAAAGAAAAAATAATCATGAGTATGAAAATAACAATCAAGGAATTGAGGATCTGAATTTGAGGTTATCTTGGATGAAAGCCACAGAGAAAACTATTCTTCATGAATTAAAAATTGGATTAGAGCCACATGCACGAAATCCATGTTATGTTTTATCATAAAACAAACAAATACCAACTTGTTTTTCTTTGAATGGTAGAACTTTCTTTTACGAGAGTTAAACCTAGGATTTAATGTAAACTATGAAATAAAGAAATTATTTCAGATATTGAGCTCCAAAGTTATCTCAGAAGAAACCTTGAGAGGGCTTTGAGCACCCATTTATTTATCATGTAAAAGTCTAATTTAAATACATATATTTTTCTGTAATTTTATATTTATCTGTTTTATTGTCATTTACAATCATATGAATTATGTTCACTGCAACCGTATCAATAGTTACCTATGTGTCTATATGATACAAATGGCAAGACAATTGTAACCATTACATGCTTTGCTTTCCTATTTTTCTCAAGATATAGGTTTTTAATCTTGTAGCACTTAGTTTACTTTTACAGTCATTTCTCTGGGTTAATTTACCATGGACTAAAAAATCAGTACTGCTGCACTAAATATCATATTGTGGTTCAACAGCATTAATTTTCAATTCTACATAAAATGTGGGATCTGTGGAAGGGCAGGTGTATGCAGCCTCACCCCTCACATACAGAGAATTTGTTTCCAAGCTCTTCAAGCTAATTTTATTTCATCTTCATAGTTTTCAAGGCGCCAAGGCGAGGCTAGGCGACAGGGGGCACCTTGTCGCCTAGGCGATGGATTTTTTTATGTAGAAAATATAGATCCTAGGGTATTTCCCTAGGTACCATAACCATATTTCCTTAATAATTATTCATAATTTTCATAAGAAAAGTATAGAGTTCATGTTAAAGTATAGAAAATCAACAAATTCATGAGAAGAAAAAGAAGAAGGAAAAGAAAATAAAAAAAAGGGGGCTGAACCCTTATTTTTGTTATAGGAAAAGAAGAAAAGAAAATGTGTTGATTAGACAAAATTTTAAGTTCTTCCTTATTGGTTCAGGTTTTAAGTCTTTGGGGGTTCAATACAGCATTTAGCAATGTTTGTATTGATTAAACCCTAACAAATAAGAAAATAATAAAAATAAATTAGTATATAAACGTATAAAATGAATATTTTAGTTTAGTAGTGCCTATTTTATAATTATAATGTCAAAAAATAAAGAATAAAAAAGTATTTTATAATACATAGTACAAAACTGTTTGGCGATTAGGCGAGGTGAGCCTCAAAGGATGCGTTGTCGCCTAGGCATCACCTTGACAACTATGTTCATCTTTATCAATGATAATATTTTTGGATTGAAAAGAGGAGGATAGGAATAATGGCAGGCTGAGCTTTCTGATACAAGAGTGATCAGTTGCAGCTCTCAAAAGGATTGAGTTCAAGTCTTCTTATTTGTGTTTACTGCTAAAAAAAAGAATAATGTGAAGACACAAGAAACCAATAATCTAGAGAATGAGACTATTCCATTAGGCTGTGTTTGGTTTTGAAAGAAAAGGTAGGGAAAGGAAGGGAAAGGTATGGAAACCTAAGCAAGGTTTGTACAGGTTTACCTTTTCCTTCAAACCAAACAAAGCCTTATAGATCCTGAATTCAGCTCAGTGCTTCCAACTCCACCTCTTAACATTTTGCATGTTTTTTGGCAGATTTAGGAATTTTGCTGAATCAGATGTTCACTCTTGAGCCTTTGACTCCTGCTTGTTGACGTGCTGTCGCATACTAGGGGGAAGAGAGCCCATCAGTTTTCCATCCAATGATCACCCAAAATCATCTTCCATCTCAATGTGCTTAAAACCCAAGAAATGCATGTCATCAATTCTTGAGGAGAGTCAAAATCTTCTTTATTTATTTTTAATGGAGATACCATCTCCAGTCACTCTAAGACAATAAGGATGAACTATCTCCTCTGGCCTTTGAAAAGGACTTGCAATACTTGAAGATCTAGAGTTTTAGAGTGAAGATGAAAGTTCAATATGATAGTGCCATCAGGTATGGGGGGTGCCCTTATGCATCTTACCTGCCAAACAAAAAAGTGTTCCTAAATCCTGATTATGTATGTGAATTGGACAAGGAATAGCCCATTCTCCATTCTGCTATCTAAAAGCACATTTTTAGAGAGCTTCCAAGTTTTAAAAAATTAAATCTAGTTTTATGGTTCAATGAACAAAGTTTTGGTAGCTGTCTTCAGGTTTGAAGCTTGTTTTTGCTTTTACTCTGTACAGTTTAAGTAACTATTTCATGGAACTCCAGTTACTCAGAAAAGATTTTCATTTGCATCCAGTTGGAGAGATGGTGGAATGTTTTTGACAAAGTTCCACCATTTCTAACTTTCATAACAAATATAGATGCTTTTATGATGTTCGTTATGTGAAGTAGATGCTATTTTTGACTTGCAGAAAAAGCAGAAGATGCATCCCTCCATGTATGAGGATCATAGTGGTGGTGATAATTCTACAGAGAGATTGAGATGCAGCGAGAGACTACTTTCTCTGAAAAAATCTCACTCACTTCCATGTTCCAAGTCATCCAAAAGTGACTTAAATATGGGCCTAACTCCTTGCATGAAAGTGCTGGAGAATAATACCCGTGACCGGCAATTGCTTGTTTCTGTTGGTTCTTTGACTGCAAACATGGAAATTGGTTTGCACAGTGATGATTACTTTCAGAAGCAGGTTTCTGTGGGCCCAATGTATCAAGCTGAAGTTCCAGACTGGACTGGTGTAGCTTCTGAAAGTGACTCTAAATGGTTGGGTACACAGATTTGGCCACTGGGATCAGGTGAACGCATTTCTGTAATAGAAAGAGATCCTATTGGCAAGGGGAGATTAGATTCATGTGGCTGTCAATTTTCAGGGTCCGTTGAATGCATTAGATTTCACATAGCGGAGAAAAGGATGAGACTGAAGATTGAATTGGGGTCGGCTTTCCTTCGTTGGAGGTTCAACTACATGGGGGAGGAAGTTTCACTTTCATGGACAGAGGAAGAAGAAAAGAGGTTCAAGGCTATAGTGAGGTTAAATCCACCGTCTCTGGACAAGTGTTTCTGGGACCAGGCATTTAAATCTTTTCCTACTAAAAAGAGGAGGGACTTGGTGAGCTATTATTTCAATGTGTTTGTTCTTCGGCGAAGAAGTTATCAGAATCGGGTGACCCCAACCAACATCGACAGTGATGATGACGAATCGGATTTTGGATCTTTAAGTAATGGTTTTGGGCATGAAACAGTAAAGGTTGCAGGGTCTAAATCCGTCTCATGTGCTCAGAATAAGCAATGTATTGATTTAGAAGGACGCTCATACGTGGGCTAGATATCAAGATTGTGCTCAGAAGTGTAAATTTAATTAGATTTTACGAGTCGACTATTGAGTGATTGCCAATGAAGATCTAGAAATGCTTTGCAACCCCACTGGCCACAGCCTTTGAGAACTGTATGGGTCTGTCCAACGATCGTCATGGTTATGTATGACCTATGGGTTGGATAATTTTGGATGGTTGATTGGAAACATGGCTTCGACCGACTGACAGAGCGAATTACACGGATCCTGTTTGAATTCAGCCTTTGCTGTTCATGCATTTCTAGGCCTTGCATGTATTGTAACGGTGGTGGCAAATCACTAGGAAAATATAATACAGCAAACTCATGCTCTAAGCAAATGTCAGAGAGAGAGAGAGAGAGAGTAGAAATGGTATTATATAACAATTTTTTTCTTCGGAATGTTCATGGTCAAGTCTCAGCTATTTGTAATGATTTCTTCAATAGGAGGTTAGAACAGACTCGATAGATTTAGCTTTTCCTATAGAGATTAGAAAGGGAGGATACGCGTTTTTGTGTTTTACAATGCCCAATCTGAATTGTTGTCTAATGTTACATGTTAACAGTACTATTGATTTGTTTTTTTTTTTAAATTTAAGAAAAAAGTTCCAATTTGCCTCCTCCCCCCCTCCCCGAACAAAAAATTGCATGTATGCTGGGCTCTGTTACCCTTTGATTTGATAGGTTTGTAATTCTATTCGCCTCTCTTCCAAAAAATGCTGCCTTACCTCTCGAATGATTGGAATTCAACTTCAAGTGCATCCATCAGTTCCAGTTCTGGTTTCTGAAGTCTGTCCCTAAACCGAGACTTTCATTTCTTTTTCGGAGAAGTACAGACAGGCTCAATGCAGATTTCTGGTTTCCACTGCAGAATTGTAAACATTTAAAGGGTCAAAAACCTATTTTATGCACCTATATCCACACGTGAATTGGTATCAATTTCAAACTGGCATCTACTTTAATTGTATTTTGAACCTATAAATTCTGACCCTGGGCTGAATTGTCATTCCCTTAAACTTAAGTAAGAAACTTTATTTATCTCCACTCTATAAAATGTCTTTTTTATACAATTGTGAACAATAAAAAGAGGGGTATTATGCAAATTGCGGAGGGGGGTGGTATTGAAAGTTTTGAAATGTTGTGGGGGGTGTTAGGTGGTGTTAAAATCTAGGAGGTGAGGTGAGGTGAATTTCAGTCAGGTTTCCCCTAAATTTAAAGGAAGAAGCAAGGCCTATCCTAATGGAACTAGTTTCAATATGCCATGCCAACCAATCTAATCTGCTGCTGCATTTCCTTCATGATAGACGTAGACATGTTGAAGTGAGACCTCCAAATTCTGTAACATTCTTCTGTGATGACGTTGCGTCCTCTCTTGTCTCTAGACTCTCTACTGAGAATCTCGTTTCATTCAATGATGTGTCCTCCTCTCTACTTTCTTGCGAGGAGACGATCCTCCTCAGTATTGTCCGAGCTTCCCCCAATCCATTGTGGAATGACCTATATTATTTATTTTCTTCACAACAACCGCTGCTAAATTATTCAAACCATTACTCTCTCTCTCTCTAAGCCTGCCTCTTGATTTTAGTGTCACAATTTTTTTTTCTCAATCCCTCATGGTAATATGTTCCCATCTTTTTTAACCATGTTGACATGGTCCATAATCATCTAATTTTGACTAGCTAGATTGCATTTTAAGATGTGAGAGCAATGTTCAAAATGCTCTTAGCACTGAGACCACCAGACTCAGCGTACTGAGATTTGCCTTTGGGTCTCACATCTTCAAATAGCTGAACTGTTTTTGCCTCTGGGTCACGGGTAATCAGTTCGATCAGCCGGGTCGAACAGTTCAGACCATGCCACATCAGTGTGTATATATATATATATATATATATATATATATATATATGTATATATGTATGCATATAAACATATATTTTAGTAATAAATAATGTATAAATATGTTTTAAATATGCTATATGTACTATTGTATATTTAATATATGTTTTTTAATTCAGTTTTTATTTTTTATTTTATAAAAATATTAAAAATTGCAATTTGAGACCAGACTCAGACTTGCCTCCGGGTCTCACTCGAAGATGTGAGAGCAATGTTCAAAATGCTCTTAGTATTGAGACCGTGTCAACGATCGAACAGTTCTTGACCAAGTCAATGGTTTTTGACCATCTAACAGGTCTTGACTAAACTAGACCTAGAATCTTGACCAAGTGACAGTTCGAACAGTTTGACCAGTCGGGTCAACGGTGGGTTGAAAACATTACTTACCATTACTAAACGATCTTGATCCTTAAAGACAAGACCTCAAATGCTCAATGTGTCCTTTGGTCTATGTTACGTTATCACTAATGGGCCTATGTGGCTATGTATCATGGAATAGAGATGTTAAGGGTGTTAGGCTATGCATGGGATTGGTGCCACGTAAGATGCTTAGTTGAGGTGCCGTTTGGTAAGTCTCTTTTAAAAGATCTTCTAGAAGAGCTAACAACCAAAAGATGTGGTGGGTTTTTATATAAAGATCTTGGAAGCCCATAGACCATTTGGATGGAGGTGTGTATTTCCGTGCGAAGATGAGACGAGAAAAGGCGAAAAGCTTCATTTCTAGCTTCTCAAAATACGTTTGAGTCAAGCTTCTTGTGTCTTTTCAGGGTGGAGTCTTTCAGCGGTTAGATCTTCTTCCAACTAAATTGAAAAGGCAAAAATGCAGACTATCGGACTTCTAAACAGCCGACAATCTGTATAGAAAGACGCACCAAATGGGGCCTGAGTATTTTAAGCAAATAAATCTTGTTTAGTGGGTTGTTTGAGTCAATTATATTGTTATGGGCTTAATAGAGGATACTGGGCCACGTAGATGTTTGTGTGTGTGATTAGTTGGTTATGACAAGGGCTTTCACTTTCATGTTGCCACTTTTGACTTTGCAATGTGGAATTGTGGATGATCCACTTTCAGCCACATATGTTTCGGTTGAAACTTCTTTTAGGGCTTCTTCAAAGTGGTTTCGATAAAACAACTCAACCAAAGCTAAAAACTTCACATAGAGGGCCTAAGTTGGGGAGCTTTCATCTTGTGCCTTTTGGCTATGTGATTTGGGGTTCACCTGGAAAGCTAATATGTAATGGTCCATACAAATTTTAAACTGCATCGGGCCCACGTTTTTGGTTTAGGTCCATACAAATATTGACAAAACCCCAACCTAAACCCATCCAAGAGCTTTATTTGAAGTCAGAGCTCAGACTAACTCCAAATGCTGCTTGTCATCCCTAATAAAAGGATAAAGAAACTATTGTTTGTTAGTCGAAATATTAAGGCCCCGTTCAACTATCGATAAATAAGCTTGGAAAAGTTGGTTAATGGCCATCTTTTTCCTATTGACCAATGTTCTAATGCTCTTTTTGTATTTACTAATGGGCCCCGCAGTAAAATAAGCTCCACTTCCTTGAGATAAGTAATTTTCTCATCTCCCAAGTGGATAAATAACTTTCGAAAATGGGGGAAGGGGATTTTGTAAAGCATAATGGGACAATTTTTTCCATTTTTATATTAACTTTTTATGGGTAAAAATATCATTCTATTATTGATTTGGGAATCCTTAAAATCAAAAGAATATGGGTAAGTGCACTTACCTAGGTAAATATTGCCCAGGAAACATTTACCTAGGCATAAATTACAAAGATGCAAACGAGCGGGCCTAAGATACAACTTGAACAACCCAAGCTTGTTGAAGTTTGGATCAAGGTTAGGGTTGAAAAAAACAATGCTGACTTAATTTCACATACGGTTGGGGTTATGGTATCGAACAACCCAACATGTCTTCATTTTTACTTTATTCAAATATCATATACAAGGTTCAAAGTATCGACATGTATCAACTAATACGTATCATTCCGAGACCCCTCCAATACGCCCCTATAGTGGGTGTATTGGGGGTCTGACCGGTTTAGGGGGTGGAGGAGCCCTAAACTGCCCCCCTGAACTGGTTTCGAAAAAAATAAAAAAAAAAGTAAGAAAAAGGGTATCGATTCGCCCAATATGCCCCTACTGGCGTATCAATATTTTGAACCTTGATCATATATATTAGGGGTGTAACTTGGGTGTATACATATGTATCCAAGCATACATATATGTATATGTAGCAAAAATTTTAAGTTTAAAGGTGTTTCTTTTGTATAAAAAAAAAAGGCAAATGATTTTTTAGTGTAACACAGACATAATGCTCTTAAAACAACATATTTTTGTGCCTTGTATGATTAGCATTAATCACCCAATCTTAAATTTAAGAATTGACTAACATTTTTTAAAAGAAAAGAAGTGAAGAATTGGGTTAATTCAAACCCAACCTGAGCCTATTACCAATAAAAAAAAAAAAAAGAAAAAACCCAACCTGAGCCCAGGGTTAAGGTTAGTGCTTCAATTAGGGGTGAACTACTGTTAGCATAGGTCAGTTTAGTTAGATTCTAAGGCCGAACCTATCGGCGATTTTGCCTTTTTGAAATAGGAACTTACCCTATTAAGATCGGTTCTAGAGTTAGTTCTAGCTTTGGCGGTTCCAAGATCAGTTTTCAGGGTCTACATATGGATTCTTAACACCCCCTCCCCCCAAAAAAAAAGGAACTTGTATCAGATCACTCAAGTGACTAATGGTCAAGTGAAACCATAGTCTTTATAACTTAAGTGCTTGGGTTCAAGTCTTCACATCCTCAAAGTATTTTGAAATTTATTTTAAGGCAATTTCAATTCCAATGTCAGAATAACTTGAAATCGGTTCCAAGTAGAACCTATCCATTTACTCACCCCATTCAACAACTCGGCTTGGGTTATTGCTACAACCTTTATATAATTATTAATTTATAATATTTACAAAATGTTAAAAATATTTTAGAGAGGTGCGGTGCGGTGGTGATGGTGAGTGGTAACAAATACCCTATTCTTCTCATCTTCTTTCCAGTTTCTTCCCTTTGTGTCTCATTCATCATAACAGTGATGCCCTCCCCATATATGGGCTTGGATGTTATTGTTTTGTTTTTGACGGAGACTAGATCAAAATCCATATCAAATTGATTAATAATGTTTAATCAGTTGAACTTTTGCTAGATAAGCGATATGGACATACAAAATTAGAGCAAATTGCAAACAAGTAATCATGCATTTAGATTGATGTTTGTATTTGGGAAGCATTTGTATTACTTGAAAAACACACAGTTAGATGCAAATTCACCATATTGAAAGCGGTTTCACTTCAACTAGGGGTGCAAGTCGGGTTGGCTCGAATTAACAGTTTATACTGTTTCAGGTTAAGCCTATTGAAAATTTGACAAAATCCCAATCTTAATCCGTAAAAGTTGCACCCCTAACTTCAACCGATGAAAAGTATACCATCTCCGGTTTCTTAAACAACAAAATGGAATCATAGTGAATTGCATTGCCAAAGTTCTTTCTTTGTCATCTTCAATAAAGAAAGGATTCGAAGGGCATAAAACATAGAACAAAACCGCCTTCAACAAGCCCTCGTTTCTTGAAAATTGTTTGAACCGACTTTTGGATAACGTTCGCGAGAAGCTTAATTTGCGACATTGCTCAACCGCAACGAGCATATGCCCTATA